GCTACATTAAGAGGCCTGTATATTTTTTAGTTATATATGATATGTTGCCTCCAAGAGGTTTGATTACCTGTATATCTTTGGATTAAGATGCTAAAAGTAATGATTTTTTAATCAGTGGTATTTACCTGGATGTGTCTTTTCAATAAATTTTAAAAAAATGAAATAGCAATGAATCTTTACAAATAAAGTTAAATAAGTCTTCCATCTATCCATTCATTTTCTGACTGCTTCATTTAGTTCTGGGTCACAAGGGAGTCAGTGCCTTAGCAAGTGTGGTGTCACCGGGGGAAAATAGGCGTAAAAGAGTTTTAACTCACACCACACTGTTCTTCTGTGCTCTTCGTCCGTGTGTCTCCCCAAATCCGTTCCACAATCCGTTGCCAGTATCCTTAAACAATCCAAGTTCCCAAATCCGTATGTACACACTACTTTGCTTCGTATCCAAGCCATAATCCATAACCCTAGTCAAAATCAGTATCCAATAGTCCGTTATTCTTAATTATCTTCTAGCACACTCCTAATATCTCTCCTTCCTCCAAAACACTTTCACTTTATCGGCTTCCGCACCGGCTCTTCGCTTCGGGGGCATTTATATCCTGTTTCCTGATGTAGTTCAGCTGTGTCTCCTTGTTTCGCTGCATAGGCTTTTTCCAATAGTGGGTCAGCTGGTTATCCCGGGTGGCCATCTTCCCCAGGTCTATATAGAGTATTTTCAGTGTTTCGTTCCGGAAATACCGGTTATAAATGACCCTTCCCCGGGTCCTCTTACACAAGCAACATACAGTATGTAAGGATAGGTTTCCAGTCCATCACAGGGCAGACACAAACACAGAAACACACACTCATACAAGGACCAAATTTCCCTTTTAAAATTGTTGCAAAATCGAATAGTTCCATCTGGCTTGGGGATCAGAACTATCAGGCTAGCCCACTCACTATGGGATTCCTCGATTATTCCCACCTCTTCTTTAATCAATTTCCTTTTGGTTTCTGGTACTCGATACGGGGGTAGACTTACCTTTTTCCCTGATTCCATGATAATCTTATGTCGTATAAGATGGGTTTGACCAGGTGTCCGGGAAAAAACATCTTTGTTTTGGGTTAGGAATTCTTGTAGTTCCTGTTTCTGAGCCGGAGCCAGGTCTCCCACGGCTACCGCACCCATTTCTTCTTCCAGAGGGTCTGGGGAAAAGTGGGTGAGCAGAACTTCGGAACCATGCCATTTCTTCAGCAAATTGAAGTGGTAGATTTGATGCTGCCGTCTTCTGTCATGTTGCTTGACCTTATAGTTGACTGGCCCCACCTTTTCCACCACTTCATAAGGCCCCTGCCAGGATGCCAAGAATTTACACTCTGGGGTTGGAACTAGAACCAGTACTCTGTCCCCAGTCTGAAATTCCCTCGCAACTTCTCCCCTATTATAAATTTGTTGTTGTTGGGCCTGGGCTTTCTCCAGGTTTTCTTTCACTATGGGAACAATAACATTTATTCTTTCTCTCATCTGTTCCACATGCTCAATGATAGTTTGTAAAGGGGAAGGTTGATGTTTCCACGAATATTTGACCACGTCCAATAGCCCCCGTGGTTTCCGAGAGTATAATAATTCAATTGGGGAAAATCTGGTCGAGGCCTGCGGTACTTCTCGAACCGCGAACATGAGATACGGGAGCAGCTGATCCCAATTTTTCCCATCCTTTTGCATAGTCTTCCTAAGCATGCTTTTCAGGGTCTTATTAAAACGTTCTACTAGACCATCGGTTTGAGGGTGGTAGACTGAGGTGCGGATCTGCTGTATACCCAGTAGCTTACATAAGTCTCGCATGACTTTAGACATGAAAGGTGTTCCTTGATCAGTTAAGATCTCTTTAGGTATTCCAACTCGAGCGAACAGTTGTACTAGCTCCATTAGCTATGTTTTTGGCGGTGGCAGCTCTCAACGGAATGGCTTCGGGGTACCTGGTAGCATAGTCCACTATTACTAAAATATACTTGTGACCTTTGGTGGTTCTGATCAGGGGCCCCACCAAATCCATCCCAATCCGTTTGAAGGGGGTTTCAATAACTGGGGGGGGGGATCAAAGGGTTTCTATAGTAGGGTTGTGGCGCACTTTTCTGACACTCGGGGCATTCCTGACAATACTTCTCGATGGCCTTATAGATCCCTGGCCAAAAGAACCTAGAGAGGAGTCTCTCAGATGTCTTCTTTACCCCCAGGTGTCCGCCCAGGAGGTGGCTATGGGCCAAGTTGAGGTGCTTCATCTGGTAGGCCTGGGGAATAAGGAGTTGTTCCACTTCTTCCTGTCCCTTCTGCTGCACCTGATAGAGGAGATTATTCTTTGTCATAAAATATGGGTAACTCACTGTATTAGGATCAGTACACCACTTCCCATCAATTTTCCTGACATGCCCCCACGCATGTCTCAAGTTTCCATCTTCTAATTGGGCCGACCCAAACTTACCACGACGTTCTGGGGGTTCCCAGTCCAGTAAATCCATATTTTCAAACCCAACTCCAAGTTCAGCTCCTCCTTCTTGTGGGTCCGTCTCATCAGGGTCGTCGGTAGGGGCATCACCCCGTTCTTCTGGGAAGGGGATTGGTCTTAGCCTAGCTGTTTGGACCGTGTACCAAATCTGGAGGAAGTAGGGACATTCTCATCCCAGTACGACAGGGTATGGCAACTGCTCAACCACTCCTACCGTTGAATGGTAGGTCCCCTGTTCTGTAGAGATGCTCAATTCTACCGTTGGATAGACCTTGGTGTCCCCGTGAATGCAAGTAATAGGTATTCCCTCTGTTCTCTGAATCTCCAGTTCTCCCGGAAGTATTGTAGGGGTCACCAGGGTCACAGTACTGCCAGAGTCCAAAAAGGCCTCAACGGGTTCTCCCCCTATCTCAACTTTCGTAAGGTGGGGATCCTCGCAGGTCGGGACCCGTGCTGTAAGGTAGTTACATTTGGCTTCACCTCTGGGGTCTACCTGCATGGGTTCGGACAGGCCGGGGCAATAGCTGGCTAAATGCCCTTCTTCCTGACAATTAAAACATCGTCGGGTTTCTTTCCATGGTCGGGGCCTTGAGTCAGACCTCCTCTGAAGGGTTTTTTTAAATTGTATAGGTTCCAGATATTCACTATACTTTATTGGCTGATACTTTATTTCGGTTTCCAGACTCTTGGGGCTTCTTCTCTCCTCTTTCCGAAAGTCCCCCTTTTCCTCCCTAATCAGGGCCTCTGTGGCATGGTGTCTGTCCACCAAATCCATGGCCTCATCTAGTGTCTGGGGATCCCCTTCACTTACTTTCCTTTTCAGGTGAACAGGCAGACTCCTCACAAAGTGATCCAACACCACCCTTTCTAACACCTGTCCTGGGTTTAATTCTTCTGGCTGGAGCCATTTCTTTGCCAGATGTACCAGGTCAAACATCTGAGACCTCGTAGGCTTGTTCATCTGGTATCTCCAATTGTGAAACCGGACTGCTCGTATCGCCATGGTTACCCCTAGTCTTGCTAATATCTCCTTTTTCACAGTCTCATAATTCTCTGCATCTTCCTCTTTTAAATCATAATATGCTTTTTGGGCTTCTCCAATTAATTAAGGGGCTACTCTCCCGGCCCATTGCTCTTTGGGCCATGCATTTCGAGATGCATTCTTTCAAAGGTGGTTAAATACGCTTCCACATCATCAAGCTCTGTCATCTTTTGTAGTGCAATTTGTTCCGCCTGAGCGGTGTCTCTCCCCGCTACCGGGACCTGCCGGATTTTTTCCCCTAATCTGTGCAATTCTGCACGTACTAATTTTTGCTCCTCTATAATTCGTTCGTTAGTTTCGCTTTGGATTTGGTTCGTCTCCCGTTGCGCTTCGATAGCTTCTTGCTGTCCTTTTAATGCCTGAAATTGGGAGAGGGTGGCCTGGGACAACAGCTGTATTAATTGTTCCATGGTTTTTCTTCACACACGCAAAGCGAAACCCACACACACACCAAAAAAAAACTTGCTTTCTTTGATTCTCAAACCCCAGCGGGAGCTGCCCGCATCCTCCACTAATTGTGGTGGTCTATATAGAGTATTTTCAGTGTTTCCGCGGGTCCTCTTACACAAGCAACATACAGTATGTAAGGATAGGTTTCCAGTCCGTCACATGGCAGACACAAACACAGAAACACACACTCATACAAGGACCAAATTTCCCAGAAGCCAATTAAGCTACCAGTATGTCTATTGATCATGCAGGGAAACAGATGGGAACACAAGAACTCCACACAGATAGCACCCCAGGTCCAGAATTCAACCCCAGGCTCCAGCACTCCAAGGCAGCAATATTAACCACATCACCACTATGCCACCATATGCCATACTTGATTTAGACTTGATTAATGTAAATTCAGCTTAACATAACAAGTTACATAAATTTAGACAAGTGAGTTATGAAACTTTACATAAGTGAAAAGCAAGTTTTGTGGCAGGTCCCTTCTGCAAATGAACAACATTGAGTAATACTATCACAACAGGCAGCCACCGGGTCTCTGTTCTACACTGGCCTGGCTTTGCTTTTGCACATGTGTGATTACACTTTCTCACACAGAATTATGAGTGACTCATTTTGCAATCATGTCAGGGGAGCACCCATGGTATTCTTTTATTATTTGCTGTGCATTTTAGATTGATTAAATAAATTTATATTGTACATTTATGAAGTGCTAACTTCATAACTATCTTTCCCCCATGTTTAATTTATTTTATGTACAAAAAATATAACATATGTACAAAAATAACAAAGTGAAAAAATTGGTGTGGGGAGGCAGGTGGTCAATGACTGTTTGACTTCGGATTTGCACATACAGTATTAGCCAGTGTTTTTGGCTTCTGTTTCCTTCACTTAATCAAAGTCATAAATCACTGACAGCTGGTCAGGTGCCAATTAACAAGGGCTGCTTGCCTAGACGTGCAGTAACTTAATTACCACACACAAAGGAATGCACATTGAGGTGCTTGGTGGTGCTGTGCCAGACTGATCCTAGGCCAGAGGAGCATTTAAAGGTGAGGAAAAGAACAGACTATCTGCATACAGTAAGATTGTTCATTAACCACAAGCTGTTAGCTCTGAGGGTTTTGAGAAGGAGGAATTGAGACTGGTGGTAGAGACTGCAGTGTTGGACCCAGAAGAGCACACAGAGACAGAACAAATTGCAGGCATACAGTTTGCACCACAGTAGCCAGGAGAGGACTCGGACACCAGAGACTCTACAGAGAACAGTGGAGGAACGGCCTGAAATTTGTTCTCCCCCCCTTACAAGAAGGTGGACTAGGAAAAAATAGGGTATGGGGTGGAGCATGAGGGACCGCAGTGTTCCAAACAGCTGGGACTAAGAGGATGCCTAAGAACCACTGAAGGACCATGGATTTCATCGCTTCCATTAGTGTGGCAGAAGGAGGCAATCCAGGCCACTGACTAGAGCTGGTTATGGAGAATATTACTGCTGGACCTTTTATTTGGAATATTATGGTTTTAGTAACTGAGTTCCATGAGGTTCCTGTATGTTCTGTGAGTAAGTGTCTCTGGTTGATAGGTTGTGTTATGTGTTCTGTGTGTCAAGTAGTCAGTTACAGTAATTGTTGTGTTATAGGAATGCTTTTGTGTGATTGCTCAACTGTAATAAAGGGTTTAATTATGTAAGTTGTAATTATGTCTTGCTTGGTCTGTGGGTGCACTGGTGGTTCTGGGAGATAAGAAGAAACTGTTGTAGGAGAAAAAAAGTCAGCATCCTTATAATTGCTAGGTAGTCAGCTGTTAAAGCAAAACTTATTCCTGCATTTAGGGGTCACCATCCATGACATCTTTTATATTTAGTGTTTAATTATTCTAATTATAAGGTTTTATTGTTTTTCGTTCATTATTTTTTCATTTCACTCACTCCTTCTATATAACGAAAGATGTTTCCTTCCTTTCTCTACCTCATAAACGGCTAGCTGCTATATTCTCTCTCTTGCTCTCCACCCTGTCAATGATTAGCTAACCATTACAGGACAATGACCCTGGTGAACCTGCAATTCAGCTCTCCCGCCCCTCCTTACACATTCACTGATATGACTAGGAAAAAACATGGAAGGATTGTTTAGGATTTCAATTCTTTTTGTTCACACAAAGGCTATGGGTTACTTCCAAATCACATACAATGTGTCACAAATGATGACAGAGTGCAACCAATCTAATCCAACAGGATAGTTAGTAATCATTAGCAGAACGTTTTTAGCAGAATGTTAAATTCTTAACATTAGAGTGTGAAATATAAAGCTGTTTTTAAGCAGGTTCTCTGTGTACATAAAAACAGTTTTCTCTAGAACTGTAAACAGCTACTGTAACATTTACAGCCATAACTGACTGGCAGGTACCACATTCTTTAGACGACACAACCAGTTTGGGCAAAAAGACAAATACAACAGTAGAACAGCTATCCAGGTGAACACTAAGCACCGATTTCCATGAAAAGAACAAGTCATTAAGTACCAAGTAGTACCAAGTAGTTACTACTATGAAAAGGTATCTTTTAAAAGAGGATCCAAATGCTTTGTACTAGTTCTTACACTGAAGCTACAACCAGAGCAAAAATCCAAACATAACAGTTATACAGGCCTCGACAGTCCATTTGGTGGGTCTGATAAATATCAAAAGTGCTTGTACTGTACGTCAATTGGTAGCCTGACTTTGACTGACTTTCCCCCATGACCATGTATTGAACAAAGTAGTTAGATGTGATGGATAATACAGTACACTTTCTTAAGTTACTTCATGAAATGAAGTGTAATGTCAGTGAAGTGTAACGTCTTCCGTCAAAATGACAACTGAATTAAGTTACTTCACCAAAATAAAGTGAGTGGCTTCACTGGGATAGAGCATTGTCTTTTCACTAGGAATGACAATGCCCAAGATCAAACCGTGATGAACTATTGAACTATTATGGAGCGGATATAGGCTTAACCCGCTTGGCTGAGGGCCGACCTCCTGGCCATAGGACAAGGAGGCCAGGACCCCCACGCAGGGTAACAAAGGGGTAGCTGCAGAGGTGTAGCTGGGGTGGAGGTGGGATGCAAAAGTCGCACGCGAGGGAGAGTAGGAAATCACATTGGTATTTATAGCGTTTGGTGGAGGAAAGATGATGAGAGAGATTGCTAATTACTGACAGCTGAGTATGATTGAGCATGGTTGTTGTCATCCCTCCCGAACTTTCACTATAAACTCCATATCACTAGGAATGACAACGTCCAAGATCAAAGTGTGATGAACTATTGAACTATTATGGAGCGGATATTGGCTTAACCTGCTTGGCTGGAGACGACCACCCAGGACCCCCAGAAAGAACGAAGTGGGACCCCAAACCACCAATGCAGAATTTGGAAGAGCCTGAACAAGGTGAGAAGGTGTGATGTGTGACTCATGTATTGTTGCAGCAGTAGGACAGTTGGAGTGCTTGTTCACGTTCTGTATAGATTTACTGTAGAGAAGTTGGCTTCTGTTGGCCTTGGCGAGTTCCTTATTATAGGTACAAGTTGAGGTGTTGACCGAAGGGAATTCAAAGGAACACGGGGTCTAAATGATGAGAAACCAGATTAGGATGTAGGTTCTTTGTAGATGGGAAAGACAGAATGTGATGTGCTAATGTATATACTGTATGTATTTGGTGTATGTTTGCCACAATTCTGGATGGCTGTGGAGAAATAGGACTCTTTTACTACGGCAGGGACTCTAGTTAAGAATACTGGGTTTGTCTCTGAACTAATTAAAAAGCTTTGCAGCTGTCGACTGAAGTAGCTGTGATAAAGTGTAAATAATACAATAAAGAGATAATTCCAGTAGCTCAAGGGAACAACTGTGCAGATGCAGATGCCAGGCAAGTGGCCCTGGGAGACAATGAGTCTGAGACCCCTGTGAAACCTCTGTTGGTGAAAAAGAGTCAGCTACAGGACATTCAGGCTGAGGCCTCTAAAGCAGAGAAATAGACATAGTTAGAAAAGAATGTGGGGCTGCATGATGATGGGGTATGGGGGCCACCAGCACACCAGATGCCCTGCATGCCCTCACAGCCTAATGCCATTCTGTAGCTCAACAAATTCATGCTGTCAGATACCCAGGTGTGTATCAATTGGTGAGCCAGTTGTCCCAAAACTGGGTAGGGACTGGGACTAGCTAAGGCAGCAGCCACTGATGTTTCATTTCGATGTGATGCTTGGCAAAGGAACTCAACTACAGCTCAGGTTTCGGGTATGATGGCTCAGAAGGCCAGGCCCTGAGGGACCTGTCATGCACTGGCGAATTAACTATTGTAGCTTGCAGAGATGTAAAGGAAACACTGGATTCTTAGTCATGGTGAATCTGTTCTCCTGGTGGGCTGAGGCCACTACCTGGTGACTGCCCTGCCACTTGGATACTGATCTAGGGGCATACTACACTGGGAAGATGTGTCAGGCTGTAATCGCCTCACTGGGGGTGAGGTAGAATTTACATTGCCCCCATCACCCGCAGTCTGTGGGGATGATGGAATGAATGGAAGACCGACTGATGAAATATCAACTGAAGGAACACTGTGGGTAGATGCTCTGCCTGTGGTCCTGTGCAGTCTGTGGGCTGGAGCAAACGAAACTGTGAGACTGAGCCCATTTGAGATCGTCATGGGCAACCAGAGAAACTCCCTGGAGGGCCAAATTTGGCTAACAGATTGTTAACAGTTTGCTAATTGATTCTCTGTTACAGTACTATAGGTTGTTAACTGAAGCGGTGCACAGGGCTCATGAACAGGTGCTGGACGCTTGGGGACCTCCGGTAGAGGGAAGACATGACCTGATACCTGGCGAGTGGGTGTGGGTGAAGAAGAGATACCCTGCCAGATGTTGCAACCCTGCTGGAAGGGACCATTTCAAGTGCTACTGACTACCAACTTTGCCATCTGAGTGACAGGATGAGATCGCTGGATCCACGCATCGCACTATCACCGAGCCACTGCACCAGAGACTGAGTGAGCGGAAAGAATTATGTTGTTACTGTTTCTGTGTCTGATGCATCCTAAGGTGTGCTTGTTAGGCCTGAGGAGCATTACTGGGGAATATGGTATCAATACATTCCTGGTGTTGTCATATCTATCAGTCAAAAAAAACCCAGAATTGGTTCTATATTGCTATTCCAAGATCCTGATGATAGATCTCCACATGGCTGAGGTCTGCGTTTGGGTCCTGGGGTGGAACTTTATTACAATATTTATTTGTAGGGTAAATATTGCTTATATGTATTCAGTAATTGTAATCATCACTTGTACAAAGACATTAATCACATCTTGCTGTAACCGTGGAATGCATGCCTGTACACCTAGGAAGGAAAGATCTGCCCTGACATTGTTTGTGTAAAAAAAATAGGCAGCACTGACGTATGCCATATTTTATAAGGGGAGGAATGAAGAAAGATACAAGATGTGAAGAAGGGGTTAACTGATTCCTTTCTGCATGAGGACTCGACTTCTAAGTAACAGACTCGAGTTATAGCAGGAAAGGAGGATAACTGATAAGGATTCCAGATACCAGCTAGGAAACCCCCCAGGGAAGGGAACCTTACACTGACCATTTGGCATAAGTCTGTAAACTGTCCGAACACTGTGACTGTCCCCCCTTTACCATAATAATGAGCTACGTCAGAAGCGGCAGAAAAGGGATATTATCATAGTAATGAGCTATGTCAGAAGCGGCAGAAAAGGGCTATATAAACTGGAAGTTTTGTACCGGCACTTGGAACAATAATTCGGTTTTGTTGTTCCTTGTGTGAACAATACTTCGGTTTTATTGTTCCTTGCATGCAATAAAACTCATCTGTTTAACTTCATCTCAGGATCCAGAACTTATTTTTCTGTTACAACAGTACCTACAATCTTTACCCTCTTTGTGTAAGTGTAGTGTAATTAATGAAACTAGGAATATGCTGAAATTAGTTTAAGTTCATGTAAGGATATGTGTTAACATAAATGACTGAATAGATGCAAGATCATGTAATGTGTAGACTCATTACATGGTACCTGGAGTGGTTGAAATAATAATAAATGAATTTGACTACAACACAAAATGGATGTAAATAAACTGCCAGAACAATTGGAATTGACGGGCGATATGGGCAGTGCGAGGAGAACTTTTAAACAGTCTTTTTTACTGTAACTGAAGTAAGCTGGCATCAAAAGTGATGAGCACAAAGTTGCATTGTACTGACCATAGCAGGATCTCAAGCTATTGAGATCTATAATAGTTTAAAAGGCTGAAAGAAATTATTTCAACTAAGTGATTGAACAGTTTGATGCTTATTGTTCACCAAGAAAAAAATAGGTATATGAGAACCACATAAACATGTTCAACAGCCTGATGAATCAGTAGATGCTTTTGTTACAGATTTAAGACTGAAGGTGCAATCTTGCAACTAGGAGAAATGCATTCTTCCAATATAAGGGACCAGATCGTCTTTGGAGTGCATGATAGGGGGAGATTTGACATTGGATGATGCGGTGAGAATATGCAGAGCAACTGAATGAATGGAACTGCAACTGCGCACATTTGAACAGAGCGCCCCTGCAGCGTAAGCATTGTCAGAATTGGCGGCCATTGATAGGGTGCAAAAAGATCCATCCCAGCAGTTCTGTGCATGCACAGAAGGTGACACAGCCCCTAAGAATACCTACGTTACAGAGTGTAGTTGTTGTTGGGGGAGAAACCGTAAGCAGAAATGGCTGGCATATAGAAAACTTTGTGCAAAATGCAGGGGCAGAACCCACTTTGCTAAAGTTTTTTCTTTAAGTGATTAAAGACAGAGGGACATTAACATGATGGTGGAGGAAGGTGGTGTAGTGGCAATGCTTATTAATAAGATCTCTCTTCCTCACCTCTGTGGTGCAGCCACAAAGAAGCTATTCATTTAGTTTCTGATTAAAAGTGTTTTCTCTCCAATAAGGAGCAGCTCCCAAATGGGTATGCGCCTAGCCATTGCTGGCTATCATGATCAATGGCCATTCCTGGCGCCTATCTGTCTGTGAGATTCTGGGGGACTGCTGTCCTAGATGTCAGAGGTCATTGTTTTTCATCTCTCACCTTGGCCAACCAATCAATAACCTGCAGGGTGTGGTAACCAAACTTGGTCTCAAATGCCCACCAAATGTTCAACCAATGAACACCCGTGGTTACTCTAGTTAAAAAGACACTGCAGAGCTCAGAACTCTGCTCCTCCGTCCACTCTCATGCTCTTTCAGACTTTATCGCGTGACTGCCAGCACTGTTGTCCGAGTGTGGGACTTGCAGCTTAGTTCCAAGCGCGAGCCAGAGGATGCCCATACATAAGAATTCTTGCCCGAGGTCTAGATTGCAGCAGGCCTCGTGAATCGCTAGAAGCCAACATGAACGCTTTGCTTGATCACTGAAGTATACGTTTGGACTCCTGTTGAAAATCTGAATAAGTGTTTATTCAGTAGTAGTGCTACGCCGGAAGCAAACCAAGTTTCTTCCCCAGAAGAGGGACTTTCTCTGACCCGCAGTCACCCTCTGTGCACAGAGACTTTTTACAAGTCAGGCGGACTACTAGTAGGTTCCTGAGAGAGACACTGTGTGGTGCATCACTGACAGCAGAAAGCTCTCCTTTCTTCTTTCTGCAACTCGGAACTGCACCAGTACTGGTTGGGCACCGAGCCAGCATCGTGCCGATTGGTTGTCGCTGCAACAGAGCCTGCCAGCTGGTTTTTGTGTCTGTGCCCCAGGAATTATGAATCCATATCTGGATAAGTAACCCAATATTCTACATTGCATCTCGAGAATTAAATTGTTACTTCAACACAAGTTGAAATCAATTTAATTCATATGAGTAATGTATTTACTTCTGAGTATCTAATGTAGGACTTGTATTAATGAGACTGATTAATGATATAGTATAGCCGAATATACTGAGGTATATTCTTTGTTTGTATCTCTTTGTGTTTTGCTTCTCTTTGTGATTATATACCTTGAATTTTGATAACCTTTACAATAAAGGTTATTGTAAATTGTAAATGATGGAAGTTTGCCATCTCTATCCAGGCAGAATGTTATACGTTTTATGCACAATATATGTCTTACTTAAATGTATCTTGTGCATTGAATCTGTGTGTGCGTAGCTGATCGATTTATTTTCTAATAGCCATAAAAGAATCACCTCATGGTTTACTGCTACAATTAATAATTTGCCCCCAGTAAATTCAGAAAACCCCTACAGTGGAGATGGTGAAAATGTAAATGATTCATTATTTATTGAAATAGTAGATAATAAAACCAAAAGCAGACAGAAGGCAAAGAAAAGAGGAACCCTGCAAAGAGATAAATGGGTACTATTTGTTGTAGTGAATGGCACTGTGCTGAACATGAAACTGGATATAGGTGCAAAGGCAAATCTGATAACAAGGAAAGATTACAATGCACTTTTGCACATAAAACAGCAAAGTTGGCCTTAAAGCCTACAATGCATTGATGATTGAGACATGGGGTGTATGCAGATCTCAGGTACAATACAAAAACATTTGTAGTAGTGCCGAAAGGAAAGGAATCATTACTGAGTCTGAATCAAGCCTGTGAGGACATGCGGCTGGTGAAGGGTGTGTCAGCCCTTGCAAACCAGATGGAAAGCAGCACTGAACACCTGCTAGCATCTCCAGAAAGTTACAAGGAGCATGGTCAACACACACAGTACTGGGAGAAATGATACCCTGGCAGAGTTGATGGAATTGGAGTTCTACCTTTCACCTATAGCATCAAACGGAAAGATACAGCCAAGCCAATGGTACATGCTCCAAGATGGATACCCATCCCTCTCAAGCAGGAACAATGTAAGGAATTGGACAGGATAGTGGAGTTGAATGTCACACGGCAAACACAAAAAGCACCCGAATGGGTGAAGTCCATGGTCTGTAAAAAATTTTTACAGAGAGTACTATCAAATACCAAAGGGGGATGAAATCCTCGGTGAGATGACAGGGGTGCAGTGGTTGACTACACTAGATGGCTTCTGGCAATTGCAACTTGATGACAAAAGTGCAGAGCTCTGTACCTTTAATACTCTCATTTGGGATTTATTTGGCACCTTAGATCTTTCATGGAGCCATGGAAACTATTTTTGAAGGTTTAGATGGAGCGAGAGTTTATATAGATGATGTAATCATCTGGGCAGAGACAAAGGAAAAGTTAAATGAGAGAGTTTGCAGAGCTCTTCAAAGAGTGCAACACTATGGTCTCAAATTAGATGGAGAGAAATGTTAGTTTGCCAGGCAGGATATCACATTCCCTGGAGACAGACTGACACCTGCTGGTGTGCAACCAGATAATAACCAAATCAGAGCAATCAGGGACATGCCTGTACCAGGCGACAAGAAAGAGCTACAGAGAGCATTGGGCATGGTTTATTATTTGGGAAAGTTTGTGCCAAACCTTGCCTCTAAGACAACTGCCCTAAGAAAGCTACTTCAGTCACAGAGTAAGTGGACATGGCAAAAAAACATGATGATAAATGGAAATATTTGAAAGAAATACTTGTCAATTAGCCTGTGCTGGTATTCTTTGATCCGAGTAGAAAAAAACGGGAGCTGGAGACCTGTGGACAAAGCGCAAGATCACTGATAGACACCAAGAGAAGATGCGCACAGTTTAAGAAAGAATGCTTGGGTCTTGTGTTTGGATGTGAGAAGTTTCACTCTTACATCTTCATCAAAATAGAGACTAAATAGAGACTCTCTAGAGCAACAGCTGGGAGGAACGCAGATAGTTGACTCACAACACTGAGACAAAAAATAAGAAGTGAAACAGCTACAGACAAATATTTGCAAAAGGTCATAAGACTAATGTAGGGTGACTGGCCAAAACAGGTCTGTCCTCAGTACTATTCTCTTCAGGACACATTGGCAGTAGTAGATGGGCTGTTGTTGAAAGCCAATCAGATTGTGATTCCCACTTCAGTTAGAAAGGAAGTACTTCAGAAGCTGGACCAAGAACATTTGGGCATTGAAAAAAACGAACGAAGTGGCAAGAGAGTCTGAGTATTTGCCAGGAATTAATCAAAAACTCAAATACATGATTGCAAGCTACACTTAAGCATCAAAATAGACAGCAAAAAGAACCAATGATCATGGAACCATCTCAGCAGCACTGGGGGAAAGTGCGAACAGATTTGTTTCACTTTGAGGGCAAAGACTCCTTGTTAATGCCAGCAGCCATATCACTCTTCAACTCACAACTGGCAACCCACTGAAGCTTAGCAGGTGTGAGCCTGGTCAGTACCTGGATGGGAGACCTCCTGGGAAAAACTAAGGATGCTGCTGGAAGAGGTGTTAGTGGGGCTAGCAGGGGGCGCTCACCCTGCAGTCCATGTGGGTCCTAATGCCCCAGAATAGTGACGGGGACACTATACTGTAAAACAGGCTTCGTCCTTCGGATGAGATGTAAAACTGAGGTCCTGACTCTCTGTGGTCATTAAAAATCCCAGGGCGCTTCTCGAAAAGAGTAGGGGTGTAACCCGGGCGTCCTGGCCAAATTTCCCATTGGCCCTTACCAATCATGGCATCCTTATAATCCCCATCTATGAATGGGCTTCATTACTCTGCTCTCCTCCCCACTGATAGATGATGTGTGGTGAGCGTTCTGGCGCACTATGGCTGCCATCTCATCATCCAGGTGGATGCTGCACATTGGTGGTGGTGGAGGGGAGTCTCCATTACCTGTAAAGCGCTTTGAGTGATGTGTCCAGAAAAGTGCTATATAAGTGTAAGCAATTGTTATTATTATTATTATTATTATTATTATTATTATTATTATTATTATTATTAATGACTATTTCTCTAATTACCTAGAAATTGCACTCCTTACTAGCCCCACAGCCATGGGAGTGATCACGAATATGAAATCATTTTAAGCCAAAATGTTG